CCCGTGTGCTCTCCGCCACTGCTCTTTTCATTGGCCCCTTATATTGGTTTGGCCCTCACTTTCAAAGGTGCATGCTAAATTCCGGTTATGGTGAGGGTCCTTTTTTTACTGTGGGATGCTAATAATGGATTCTGCCCTTTGCCCCCTATAAGGGCAGGGGGCAGCACTGAGGAGTTTTTGTATGATACAGTATTAACTTGAGTTATGAGTAGAAAGTGAACTGGTAGAGGACATTTGGTGACACGTTAGCGACAATGGACATGTTCGGAGCGATTCTCTAGTTCTGCGTTCTGAGCTTCACTGAACTTTGAACAAACAGGTGAACAGCTCTTTGTGCAGCTTCAGTCCGTTTCCATTCCTGCAGATCATTTCCACAAGTTTCAGAAAAAAGCTGCAACCGGACAAGCAAGCAAACATTCTGGCCTAGAACTAACCAGGAGGCAGTCACACCTCACACGCCCCTCTGTAATGACACCATGGTAAACAATAGATAAGATAAGTGGAGAACAATATAATGTAGAATACAGTAAAAAAAAAAACAATGAGGAAGGAAGTCTGAGATATGTTCATATCAAAATAAAGTGTATATTGAAATCAAGTGAAACGTTAAATTCATATGATGATGAACATAAACACAAATCGCATGTGACTCAAGCTATGAGACAATAGAGCATGAAGATAAGAGCTGAAACTTAAAGAGGCGGTGACTCTGAGTCCAGACAGATCTGGGTTGAGACTGTCTGAGACTCATGTTTTCACAGTGCAGTCAGATCCAGAGGAGCCAGAGGAGCCAGAGGAGCGCAGCGGTGCAGCGGTGACTCCTGGCCGGCTGGATCAACACCTCGCTCGCCCGCAGCTGGAGCCCGAATCCCGCAGCGTGCGCGGTTATTCTCTCGCCCCTCTGGTGCGGTTCGTCTGCCAGAGGGAGGCTGAGCCAGCGGCCGTCGGCGGAGGGAGGGTTCCACCGTGTTTTCTCTGGAGCGGAGGCAGAAAACAGAGCAGCCACGCCGCCCACTCCTCCGGGGCGCAGCGCGCGTCGACGATTTCGCAATCGCCGCTGCCCCGTTTCAAATGCGCGGAGGAGCGGCGCGGAGCAGACACCCGCACAAACCCCGCAGACGCGCACCCTGAGCCCCGCAGACTGGAACTAACAACAAGGTGAGAAACGCCGTCTCCTCCCCATCCTGCCTTTAAAAACAGAAAATCACCATTTATTACACGGAGTGTGGTGGAGCAGCGAGGAAACAGCAAAGTTGTTTTTCTGCAGGAGGCTTTGTTTTGTCGTGCAGGAGGAGAAGCATCAGTGCTGTTCCGCTTTGTCTGCTCACTTTGGCTCGTGCATTGTGTTCGGTCACTGGTGCACGACCGAGATCCGGGATTGTGGCTTCAATTCTGGTGCAAAGAAATAATTTCAAACCATTTTTATTTTAAGGAACGGGACATATTGTATTTATGGTTTTAACCTTTGAGCCCCTGAAGCTTCCCTGCTTTCTGATCTACATTGTTGTGTCACATCCTTTGTGTTGATTGTCACCCATTGTTGCACTGATTGATTTAGATACAAGAAAAAACAGTAAAATCAACTTTCATCATTATAATCAGTGTTTTTTTTTTTTTTTGTGGTTTAATGTCTTTATCTATTTTTCTTAAGCACCTCTGGAGTGGGAGGTGATGAAATGAAATGGAAGTGCCTCGTTTCCTTTCCCCACAGTTTGAAGAAGCAGAATTAGAAATTGATCAGAGAGCTCCAGCTGTGCCTCGGGCCGTGCACGTTCCCCCTGCTTGGGTTTTGTGACATGCTTTCAAAAAATGGGTCAAATGAGGGAGGATTGTTCAGCGACAGACTGGAGATCGGTGAATGGAACCCTGAATCTGAATTTAAAGTTCGGGTGAAGGCTGCTTGCCTCATTTCCCATTGCATTTGTATTTTCTTCTTCTTTCTGTAATCCTCTCGCTGACTTACTGCAGCTGGACTCACTCCAACGTTCAGGATGTGTCAAAGTCTGACTTAATTCTCTGCAAACTTTAATGGCCTGCAGGATTACTGTGCCGGAACCAGAGTTTGTGTCAGTGTGATTTCTTGTTCTGCGTGTTCAGCTTCCTCCCTGTCTGTAAAACCATTTTCTGCAGGTTTCTTTATGTGCCCTGCTCCGATCATGATGTACACGGCCGTGGTTCCCAAAGCAAAGTTGACGAAGCGGCTTATTTTTTCGCCACAGCCGTCACGAGAGATGACAATAAACGAGAGAAAACACTGCAGCTTCTGACGTGATCCTTGACGTGTTCGTGACAGTATCAGTTGCAGCAGGTCAATTTACTGCAGCACAGGAAACATTCATCGTCAATATCCTTTGTCTGCTTCAGCCACCTCAGGGCGGTTGCACGAGCCTGTTGGTGCACTCTGGGGGGTGAGGGGCTGAAAAGTCCTGAGATTGTCCGAGTCCGGAACATGTGCGGAACATTCAGGCGAGGGGCGGAGCCTGTAGAGCAGCAGGAGGCGGGACAAATATTCTCAGAAGGGGCTTTGACTCTTTCAGGAAAATGTCAGTGTCAGGTTATCAGGGGAGTTATCTCTTGTGGATTCTGTGGGTTTGAGTCTTGTAATCTGCTTTAAATGAAAATAAATCACAGTCTAAACTAAATGAATTCACACCAAGCCGCTTGTTATCTACCATCATGTGACAATGTTGGTGTTTTTTTTCAGTTTTGTGCTCATGGAAAAAAAACACATTTTCTTGTTCCAGCCTCAGAAATGTGAGGTATTTATTGCTCTCCCTGGTTTCACATCGTCGTTAACTAAATACCTCAGAGGGGTTTGTTGTGTTGTTTGGACAAAACATGGAATTTGAAGACGTCACCATGAGCTCTGGGACCATGTGATCGTGGCCTGATTAACCAGCGACGAGGCTCTGAGGCACAGTTTCTCTCTACACGGCAGCGTGCACAGCTTGTCTGCGCAGGGACGCCAGCCGACTCCAGATTTGATCTAACATGAACTCATCTTGGTCTGTGCAACAAAACGAGGTCTTTAAAACTGAACCTCGAGACTAAAGGTAATAAAACACCACCCACTTAAACAAGAGCACTCCACCAAATGCACACATCCAGAGCAGTTTGCTCCCGGGCCTGTCCGACCACTTGTGTAATGTTTCTGTGGGGGGGGGAAGCATAGTGTGTTAAAATGAACCCTGCTGATGATATTATCTTGGAAACTCATTGAATTTTTGTAGAAAAGCAGAAAGACGTGGACAGACATGCAGGGTCTAATGGACAATTTGAATTTGAATTGATTAGATGATGAACAGAAACATAATCAATAGCTGTTGGGGGCAGTGATTAATGGCATCAAGTGTAAGTAGTGGAACGACGCTGAATATTCATAAATCATCCTTTTATAAATATTATTTGGGTTTTGGACTTTCGGTGAAAGAAAACAAGAAGATGTCCTGTTGCCTCGTTTTTTTTTACCCCCCTCCCCCGTCCAATTAAGCAATTAATTGAACAATTAACAGGAAGAGAAATCTAGCAAATTAATCAGTAATGAAAACTGTTGGTTGCAGCTGTGGTGGCATCGTGTTCAGGTTTTGACTTTAATAAAAACTGGGTGAAACGTCATGATTGACAGCTAAGACTGACTCTGGATTGGTCGAGCACATCCATCAGCAGGACCTCGATAACGTAGCTCCACCTCCACTGCACGGTATCTGATATTTTCCATCTTTATTCACAGTCAATAGGTTTGATAGGTTTGGTTTTTGGACAATAATTAAGTGATCACTTGCAGCCTTGGAGGTTTTGGAGGTGGGTTCCCACCGCTGCATCTCCCAAAGTGTGCGGTGTTGTCAATATCTGAGCGGGGATCAGTGCTGGTGACTCACGAGGAGACGATGTAGCAGCAAGTACAAACAGCTCGGCATGGAACAGGAACAACAGGATGTCAGAGTGAGCGCAGGAGGACAAACAGTTCACATGGTTCCGTCAGACTCGGCGTTAAACCTCCATCACGGAGATAAATGAAACTACAGTTTACATTCTGTGGTATCAGGGAGATGATTTATAAAGCGTTCCTCCAAACAACAGTCACAGGAATTCACAAGTTGATTATTTATTGGACGGAGCTGTGGCGACCTGTCACCCTGCCAGGTTCCAGAGTTTGGCAGCGAGGGGCGGGCAGTCAAAACAAACTGATTGCACGCAGCACTCTAAGTGAAACGTGATAGATTTAAATGGGCTATTAGTGTGTTTATACAGCTCCAGATCAGAATCAGCGTCTTAAACATAAAACCTTTGCTCCTAATGCTGTTTGGACGTTTTCAGGCCAAACAGGATCAAACTCACCTGCACAAACGCAGTGAACAGAAAAGCGTGGAGCTAAACCTCTCACAGGGTTTTGGAGATTTCAGAGCTGCTGCGGCTTTTCACGAAAACATTGCATTCTTTGTTTTCAGCGAAATTCCAAACAGAGGAGCAAAGTTCTGGAGCTGCAGGGAAGTCGCTCTAAATGCATCGGTACAGTTTTTGATTTGCTCGTATAGTAAAGAACAACATAACAACATCTCTGACTTGGTTTTAAAGACGAACAACTTTCCTGCACTTGCCCAAATGCATGCTGGGATGTCATCAAACTCCCCTCTGAAGCTCAGCAGGAGTGAGAGGAGTTACATTAAAAAAAAAACTTGGTGGACAAGGTGGACTTTTGGTTCTCTGATTGTTTTTTATGGTTCTGGCCTCGTTGCTTCAGTCACATCCTGGACGACGGGACAGCTCCCCAAAAAGTGAAGCCAAATATCCTTCATCGCCCCCTGGTGGCCTCCTCCATGTTTGCAGATGGGACACGGCCCAAATTAAGACATGAAATAAATTCTACTGATCACACAGTGGAATCGCGGCGTCCATCTTTTCTTACAGTCCACGATTCCAAAACCGATGAGGTGACATTTCAGATCACGCCGTGCTCCTCTCTTTGTTGCAACACTTCGTACAAGGTTGTAAAGATGTCAGAACCTCTGTGCACCAACACACAGACATAAAGAATTGGTTTTCCCGACGTGCACGGATCCCTGACCTCAACCCTCCATGAATCCTCTGGGATGAAGTGAAACGCCGTCTCTGAGCCAGACCTCATCACTCATCATCAGTGCCGGACCTCACTGAGGCTCATGTGGCTGAATGGGAGCAAATCCCTGCAGACAGAGTCCAGACTGTGAAAGAGAGAGTGAACCTTGAAGGGTGGAGGATGTTAGAGCAGCAGATTAATGACCATTGTCTCGGAATCACAGGTTACGTCTTAATTTTCCCCACTTTTGATTTTTTTTTTTTTGTCCTAGGTGGCAAACTGTCTCTGTACATGAAAGCTGCTGTTCATTTAAATTCACTCTGATGTTCTGGAGGCGACGTGGCCTCTGCTCCGCTCACGAACAGTAGCTGAATCAATTAGACTTTAAATTAAAAGCACATCATTCGAAGGAACAGCACCGTGTGGAGAAGCAGCTGATTATACAGAACCTCCAGGATTCAGTCTCTGGGGGAATCTGTCGACTCGTATCACCTTCAGTTACCAATATTTACTTGGTTTTATCAAACAGCAGCGTGACACCTTGTGTAAGCAGGTAGAGGAGATGAAGGTAAACAAAGGCTTTGAGTTTGCGGAGGGAAGGAGCTTCAGGACGTGTTCTCAGACGAGCGTCTGAATCAAGCTCCGTGTGTTTGCTCCGTTGTTTTCATGGTTCAGTTTGATCCAGAGCCAGAACACCTCGTCTGCTCTGAGGAACCTTTCACACCTGATGTCTGAGACTGAACTGAAAAGTCTGAAGGTCCGAACCAAACGAGGAGAACGAGGCCTGTATCCGACTCCTGCCAACGCAAACCGTCTGGATTAGTTTAAATAAAACAGAGTTGAGACGAGGAGTAATCTTTTAAAACACTTTTAAATATCAAGATGCAGTCGTTTAGTTTACGGGGATCGGTGAAGACTGGATTTTGTGGAGCATGCGCCTCAAAATTGTGACAGAGCGTCGTGACTGTGAGCGGCTCTTGCATCCTCTGGTGGAGTCAGTGCGCCAGTTAAATAAATACGACAAGCTGTTCATTAACTAGATCAATGATTTCACGTGAGCCTCAAATTGAATATGTCGAGCCGCTGCTGAGGTCGGCTGATGGAGGATTCACCGCCCGCGGGCATTAGACGAACTTCTCCATCAGCAGATATGTTTCGCCCTCCCCTCGTTGTTTCTGTAACCTCTGCGCAGACTTTGAATCTGGCCCTTTCCCCTCCCCCATACATCATTTCCCACTTTATTCTCTCCACATTTTCCAAAACTGCACCTCGGCTGTCTCCTCCATTAATTTCTCCTCCTCCCAGGACGGCGGCAGGTCCGCGTCCACCTTTCCCTCTGCTTCATTTGCATCTCGGCTCCACTCGGCTGCCCAAGTGTTTTCTGGGAGTCAGGTGGCTAATTGGTTCCCATCTGTTGGGAGAAAGCAGCCGTCAGTGTCAGGAGTTTTACCATATTGATTTAGTTTGGAGTTCAAAGTCGCATCCTATTGATAAGCAACTATTTATTTATGCTTTTTAAATTATAATATGTGGCTTTATTAGCGGGTTGTTATTTAATGATCGGAATAAAAGGGACACTTGGATTCATCAGGGACCGTGTGACCTCTGGAACATCTGGACTCAAATCAGGTACCACTGCTGATGTGTGCACACAAGTCAAAACGATGTAGAGAGGACAACACAGTGCATTTTTGACATTTTCATTTCCTGTTCTGTTGTTTAAATACAGAATCTGCTGCATCAGTGTCCTCTGTCTAAATCTGATGGGACAGATTCTATGAAAACCTTTTTACAGAAGTTACAGAAAAAGAAATGCAGGAAATATGTCCATTCATGTTTAACTAACCCTGATGCAGCTGAATTATTTTGCAACTTTGAACTTCAGTGTGCCCTCGTTCTTGTGGCCATTCTGATCTCTGTTTTTTATTTCACCACACCGATAAGTTTCAGCAGAGGAGGAAGTGGCCAGGTCTCTGAACTCAAAACAGGAAGTGACAGGAAACACTGAAGCGCTTCTTCGAAGCGGCCTTGAAAGGGGAACGTTGTTACCTGATGTAAACACAACAAATAGTTTCACTCTGACCAGTT